GAGTAAAAACTCCCAAAAACGCAGGTCTGAAAATGTAGCTAGAAAACAGCCTTCCGGGCATCAAAATGAGAATCTGACCGTTGGATTTGAAGAGGAGTATGTGAGGAACAACATACTAAAATTTGAGCACGATCCGACTTTGTTTGGCCTTCGATCCGGAGGTGAAAAGTTGCTGCTGTAGAGAGTGGCGGAAATCTTCTTTTTCTTCCTCTTTCCTGCGTTTAGCTACTGCCAGCCCTCACTTCTTCCTTTTTTTTTCTCCCTTATCTTCTCTCTTTTTTCTTTAGTTAGTAGCCACACACAACACAAGAGAATGGGCCACTAAAAAAAACAATTGGGCTAAAACTTTACACACAAAAATAAACCCAAATATAAGAGAGAGATTTAAAGTGTTGTCCAATTAAAATTGGACACTTCCTCCACGTAGGAGGGATATTTCCCAACAAATATTATTCTATATCTTACCCTAGCACTTATATTTCTCACCGTCTTCCCTCTCTACTACCACCCTTTCCGCTGCACCAATCATCCTCTGGACTTCCCGGCGAAGCCGCTAGCCGAATCATCTTCCAGTCTTTCTCCGATACCCGAGAAGTTGCTAGCAAAAGCACAAAGCGCCCCCTCTTTTGAAAGTGTGAATATTTCTTCCCCTCCCCGAGATCTGGAAAAGGGTCTGATGAAGCAGGGGGCTTCAAGAACAAGTGCGATATCTTTACCGGAGAATGGGTTCCAAACCCGGAGGCGCCGTATTACACGAACGAGACTTGCTACAGCATCCAGCAGCACCAGAATTGCATGAAATTCGAGAGGCCCGATGATGGGTACTTGAAATGGCGGTGGAGGCCGGACGGGTGCGTGCTCCCGGTTTTCGATCCCCGGGAATTCTTGGAACTGGTAAGAGGAAAATCTTTGGCGTTTGTTGGAGATTCAATTGCCAGAAATCATATGCAGTCTCTGGTTTGCCTCTTATCACGGGTTCGTATTTACTCCACTCTCCTGCAATATTATAAAAATGGATGTATTTAATTATAATGGATTTGATTTACTTTTTTTGCTTTGATTTAATAATTCTCCCTCTCCCTCTCTCTCTATGCAATAGATTAGATGGTAATTTGTCTGTATAGAATTACTGGAATTTATAGTGGATTAAAATCTGGGAATTATGAAATTTGCCATTTATGCTAAATTTGTGGCTAGTTGTGGGGAGATTAGCAAGGATTAGTCTACTGTATGAATCTTCTTTAGTCATATAAATGTGGTTCTGTACGGAGTATTAGGGAGTAGTTTTTTTTCCTTTCTTTCATGGGAATGAAAAGGACAGCCTGTTCATAGCTGGAAATTGAGGGGGACAACATATGTAGCTGTAATTGTGGACTGCAGTCAAAACAGGATGCTTTGATCATGTGCTCCAAAGAGGCCTCCATTCGTTCTAAATTTAATATGGAGGCGTAGAAGACAGTTATCTTCGTATCTGATGTGATTAAAATTAGATCTGATTTTCGTCCGTCCTAAATTAAAGTTCCACAATTAAAGTTCCACTTAAGCTCGGCTAACACTATTTGATCTCCGACAGGCTCGACACTCTAATATGCCTCCTAGCACTTTCTGGGTTATTGTTTTTTTTTGAATTGATTTTTTGTTTGTTCATTTGAGATGATTTTCATGCTACTATTGAACTGTCATAGCAACATGCTACCAAATGGCTCAAAATAACAGATCATACCTATGTGCCAAATGATTCTGTTTTTTCCCAGATTGCTTATCCTATGGACATTTCCAACACGACAGATGACAACCGCAAGCGTCTTGTGTACAAAGATTACAACTTCAACATTTCCATGTACTGGGCCCCGTATTTGGTCAAGACGGGCGTGACTTTTAATCAGCAAAACAGCAAACTGTTCGATCTGTATCTAGACGAATTCGATGAATCTTGGACAAGCAAGATTGGAGCTTTTGACTTTGTAATAATCAATGCTGGCCACTGGTTTCTCCGGCCCACTAACTTTTATCTAGACGGTCGACTCATTGGGTGCCTCTACTGCCCAGAACCCAACGTGACACACTTGACCAAAGACTTCAGCTACAGATGGGCATTCAGAACGGCGTTTCGGGCAATTAACAGCTTGGAAAACTTCAAGGGTGTAACGTTCCTGAGGTCATTTGTTCCCCAACACTTTGAGCATGGTACGTTTGACCATGGTGGGGAATGTGTGAGAACAGAGCTGTTTCGCAGGAACGACACCATCTTGAAAGAATTTGAGTTGGACTTGTACCACATTCAAAGGGAAGAGTTTGACATTGCAGAGAAAGTGGGGAGGAAAAAGGGGTTGAAATACAGATTGTTTGATGTGACACACGCGATGTTGTTGAGACCGGACGGGCATCCGAATAAATATGGGCATGGGCACTGGCAGGACCCGAACGTAACCGTCTTCAATGACTGTGTGCATTGGTGTTTGCCCGGACCAATCGATACCTGGAGTGATGTCTTCATAGAGTTGTTGAAGAGGGAAAGTTGAAGATCATGCACTGCAAGTTATAACAATGGTGAAGTTTTCTTGCTCCCCCCTCATTTTCAACAGTATTTTTCCGACTGTTCTACAAACTTTTGATGTAATGAAGTTGTACATTTTAACAAAAATGTTGTCATTGTATGACAACACCTATGGTGCTCCAATTAAAAATGATAGTTCTTATCTTCCAACTCTCCTAAACCCCACCCCAACATCCCCTCCAGAAAAAATGCCAATTGGTTATTTGACATTTTTTGGGATGGGGTCGAGGGCAAGAGGGTTTAGGGTGTGGGTTAGGTGTAAGAACAATAAATTTTATAATCGGAGTACCGTAGTTGTCAAATTATGAGAACAAAAGTGGTTAGAAGAAGGGGGCCTGCCTGTACGAGTATTTGTTCGGTGGGGTTCCCATGACACTAGAATCCTATGTCACGGGATGACCCGGGGGCGCTTAGGTGCCCTGTACGTAAAATTGACGGTTCCTACCCTATTTAACCCCAACAATAGACCCCCCCATCCGTCCTGACTCGAACCCCCCACCCCCCTCACGCCCTTCAATTACACCCCACAAGTTGATTTTAATTTTGGAGTTAAATTTTGACTCCATAGTCAAAATTAACTTGTGGGGTGCAATTGAAGAAAGGAGGGGGGAGTCTGGTCGGGGTAGTCTAGGGGATTTACTGGGGTTAGGAAGGATAAGAACCATTTATTTTACGAACGGGACATCAGAGCATTCCTAAGTCATCCCATGACATTGCCAGGCGGTGTCATGGGAACCGTCCTCGTATTTGTTATAGGCTAAATTGTACAGATAATCTTTAAGATAATACATTATGCACAGTTAATTCTTCAACTTTATAAATTCTAGAAATAGTCTTTCAAGTTACATTAATGTTGCACAATTGGTTCTTCCCTTAGTTTTGTTTTTAATCTATGTTTTTTTCATTTTCTATAATAAATACATGTAAGGAATCTTTTTTCGTACAATTATGTCATATTTCATATAGGTCTATTTTGTAATGTTAATAAGTTATTCCTACCTATACTATTCCAATTTTTTTAATAATAATAAGTTACTCTTGTTTTTATTGGTCTCCTTTTTTTAAATATTTATTTCGTCTTAATTTTTCCTAATGAAATACAGAGTATTTATAATGAAATATGGAAAAAACATGGATGAATGACAAATTTAATAGGAGGACTAACTAAGTAATCCTAACGCTATTTTTTCGCAAAGTTTTTAGAGTTAAGATTTACCCGTACAATATATACGACGAGCACGGTCAACTCTCCCACATCGCCTTTAAATCAACTAGATTCATCTTTAAAAAAGGCCAGCGGCAAGTGAACGAGTACTAGTGGGTTCTACTCCGTATTTGAAATTCAATTAAAGAGAGTTATCCACAGAGATATAGCAATAATTTTGACGATTTGCAAAACCCCCCATTTTGGATCCATATTCGATTTTAGGGTTTTTTCGAGTAGAAAAATTCAGATTCGAGAAGTTACAGGCAAAATTAGAGAAAACGGTTTGGATATTATTGATCCTCGTCTCAAGACGAAGAGAATGACATTGGTCTCGCCGGAATCGGAAAAAGTTCATTTTCCGGCGACTTTGACCGGCGGGGCGACGGCGGCGGGGCCTGGAAGAAAAGAAAAGAAGAAATGGGGTCAAATTGAAAATTTTAAAATATATAAAATTCGAATTTGGCCCTAATGACCGGAAGTTAACCTAGAAACGGGCTAATGGCTCATTAGTGAAAGGATTGTGTAAGTTCAGGGATTTTTGTGAAAGGATTTGAAGTTCGGGTACCACTTCGAAATTCCAGCTAAAGTTCAGGTACCATTGGTGAAATTTACCTAGCAATATGTTAAATATTTATATGAACATAAATATTTTATGTATTTCTATGTCCATGTGGATGACTCTCTAGAATTTAATATCAAATACACAATTTTTTATTTTCATATTTTATTAGATTTTTTATATTTAATTTTATTTTCTTATTTTATTAGATATTCAAAGGGAAGAGTTTGACATTGCAGAGAAAGTGGGGAGGAAAAAGGGGTTGAAATACAGATTGTTTAATGTGACGCACGCGATGTTGTTGAGACCGGACGGGCATCCGAATAAATATGGGCACTGGCAGAACCCGAACGTGACCGTCTTCAATGACTGTGTGCGTTGGTGTTTGCCCGGACCAATCGATACCTGGAGTGATGTCTTCATGGAGTTGTTGAAGAGGGAAAGTTGAAGATCATGCACTGCAAGTTGTAACAATGGTGAAGTTTTCTTGCTCCCCCCTCATTTTCAACAGTATTTTTCCGACTGTTCTACAATACTTTTGATGTAATGAAGTTGTACAAGTACATTTTAACAAAAAAATTTGTTGTCATAATATGACAACACCTACGGTGCTCCAATAAAAAAATTGATAGTTACTATCCTCCAACCCCTAAACCCCACCCAGCATCCCCTCCCAACAAAATGCCGATTGGTTAATTGGCGTTTTTGGGGAAGGGATGGAGATCAAGAGGATTTGGGGTGTGAGTTAGATGTAAGAACAATTAGGGTCCGTTTGGTATACAGAATTGATGGAATTGGAATTGAATTGAAATTTAAATTTCATGGGATTCAATTCTATAGAATTGAATTCACCAATTCCGATTCATATTTTGCACTTTCAATTCCAAATCAACATAATATTTAAGTTACCAAACACCAGAATTAGAATTGAAGTCCTCAATTCCAATTCCATAATTTGAATTCTGTGTACCAAACGGGGCCTTAATTTTTTTAATTAGAGCACTCTAGTTGTCAAATAATTATGACAACAAAAGTTGTTAGAAGATGGAGGCGTGCCTGTACGCGCATACGAGTATCTGTTATAGGCTAAATTGCACAGATAACCTCTAAGGTAATGCATTTTGTACCGTTCATTCTTCAAGTCTAAAAATTCTATAGAGAATGTTTGAACTCACGATATCGTTGCACAGTTGGTCCTTTCATTAACTTTGGTGTTAAATCCTGTTTTTTTTTTTCATTTTCAATTATAAATACATGTGAGGAATCTTATTTTTTTTGTACAATTAAATCATACTCACTCCGTCCCCCAGTTTTTTTTTTTTGAACAAAAATGCACATTTTTATCATTCACAAACAAACCAGTCAAAAAATTTTACACATCAGGTAACTATTCTCTACCAACATCCAACTTTTTTATAAGTGAAAATTCTAAGATAAAATAAAACATTCTTAAGGTAACCTTCTTTATCTTTATTCTTATTGTGAATAACATCATTCCTCTTTTTCCAGATGGTATAGCATACTGCCGCCCACCCTGCATTAGTCATTAGTTTCCTCCTCTTTGTCTTAATGTTCCCCAGTTCTATCTCCATGTGCTCGAGGGAAGTGGCTTTGCATTTTATCCCCATCCTCATGAAGATTTCCTCTCTAATCTCCTTTGCAATAGTGCACTCCCAAAACAAATGCTCAAATGTCTCTTCCGTCCCCTAGTTTTTGTCCACTTTCATTTTTACACACCATTCAATAAACTTCTTTAATCCATTTTATCTTGTAATTTGTATATTAAAAAATTATAAAAATTATATATTAATAATCTATATGTTAAGACAAATCAAACAAGATCACACATGACTATATTTAGACTTACACATTGAGAGAATTTGATGAGTCAAAGTACTTAGATGAACAGCTCCAAAAGTCAAAAGTGGACAAAATTTGGGGGACGGAGGAAGTATTTCATATAGGTCTATTTTTTAATTGTAAGAAGTTATTCATACCTTTATTATTCCAATTTTTTAATAATAATAAGTTATTCCTGTTTTTGTTGTATTTAAAATGAAATACAAAAAAAATGTGTGAATGGCAACCTTAAAAAAAAGGCCAGCGGCATGTGAACGTGTACATTTACAGTAAGTTGGTTCTACTCCGTTTATGATATTCAATTATAGAGTTTTTTTTAAAAGCCAATTATAGAGAGTTACTAGTTTTAACCCGTGTTTCACACGGGCTCATATACATTCTAAAGTTTTGACATTTTATAAATATTTTTTTTATTTTAAAGGAATATTTTAAAAATTCTATAACTATTTTATTTGAAAAATATTACATTAAATAAAATATAAAAATGCCAAAAACAATTTAATAACTTTGAAGGTAAAATGTTTTTTCATTTTTCTGAAAATGAAATATTTTTAAATTAATACTAAAGAGTTACATACTCTTCTTTTAAATTTTACAATCAATATGCATATTTAAAATACAGAGTATATTTTAAAATAAAATAAATTAAAAGATCTTTTAAAAAAGAAGCTTAATGACCAATGAAAGGCCTCCACCCAGGGGCGGACCTACCTTGGGTCAAACGGGATCAAGCGACCCCACGAAAATTTTAAATTTTTTAATATATATGTATATATATAATTTTTTTAGTGTATGCCTGTATTTAGTATATATTCTACAAAACGCCCTATGATTCTACTCGTATATGCGGAAGGAGTGGAAAACTCCATGCTTTGAAATTTGGCGTGCAGTTGTGGGTTTGAAACCAGCCGAAGGCGTTAATTATTAAAATTTTAATTTATTGTTTGGGTTATGTGAGTTGTGAATATTTTAATATAATTAGGTTATGTTTTAAATTTATAATGTTTTTAATTATATAAATTTAAACATAGGATGCAAATCCTATATATCCTATATATAAAATAGAGTTAATCAATTGTAGTGTTGACAAGTGTGATATGACATGTCTATTTTTTCCCAGCTGGCCTCCTCTTTTTCCCCGTTGGAATCCAGATCATCAGATCCTTAACGCAGGCCCTAATCTGTAACTGCCGCAGAGCATCTTTTCCAATTACTCGCCGGTTACGCCTAGGATCCTCAGCGGTTACGCAGGGAATTAGATCGGTGGGGAGCTGCGTCTTTGCGTTTGCCGCTGGCCTCAATCCGATGGGAATTACTATACGGTGAGTGAAATTAATTTGATTTCTAGGTATTGGTGTATTTACTTCTGTGAATTCCAATCATGGCCGTTTGTGGCTTTTGGGTGACTAGGGTTCTGCCACTGAGCTCCCCATGTGTATATAAATACATGAATTGGGTGTTACCTTGCAGTATCAAACACTTTGCCGACAAAAGTAAATATGTGTGTGTGTCTCCTAAAGTAAATTATAATCATATTAAATATCTATGCTATGTTTGATTCATTTTGATTTCTTTGCCGACAAAATATGGGTATTTAGGGATTTGAAATTGAGATTGACTCTTTGGGATGATTCTATTCTGGCTTATATGGAGCAAAAAAAAAAACAATCAAAGGGAACGTTATATCTGGTGTTTTCACTCCTAATATGGTCAAGCAATTCATGAGTAAGACGTTGTTATTGTAATCCATTAAATTTGCTTATATTAGCATATGTTATTTTGGACTTATAATGTGTGTAATCACACATTCCCCCGCTTTATCATCTACCACGGCATCAAAAGTCTACTTGAATATTGACATTGATGAAGTTCTGTCATTGAAAAGCAACAAGTATGTAGTCGTTTTAAGAACATCATTATTATCAAATATTAAATCCATGAACTTATATTGGCCACTTTTTGCACACGCTCCATATCATGCAGTGCTTGGGCAGAGGAATCAACAATTATACCACTGATACCCCAGAGAGAAGTTATCAATAGAGATACTATTTTAGCTGGTTTGAAAAACATAGAAGAGCTTCTTGGCATTGCTACCTCCGATTTTGAAATTGTAAGTATATAGATGCTGTATATAGACATTGTATAATACTCATGTATATTCTATGTTGTACTTTAAAAAAAAAATTAAAACATGTACAGGGTGCATCATTTTATTGTCATGCTTGGATACATGATATCAACAAGAACAATGGTTGGTATTACAATTCATGCCGTAACTGCAAACGGTTGATCAAAGCATGTGGAGACAAGTTTTGGTGCAATAAATGCCAGAAAGTAGTGGTGGATGATGCTGTTCCGAGGTATATCAATACACTACAGAGTAATACTCTAGGAAATTTAAACTTTATAGGAGATTTTAGTAATTTGAAACACAAAATACTTACTACTTTGGTATTCATAAATATCGTCTAGATGTTGGGGTGAAGGATGATACCGAGTTTACGAGGTTTATAATCTTTGATGAGGAAGCTGAAAAGACTATTGGCCATTCAGCCATAAGCGTGTATGATATAGAAGACAAAATTGTGGTAATTACCAATATCAAAAAATGTGAAATTTATCCCCCTGTTACAACTATTTTTTTTAAAAAAAATTATTACTTTTAGGAAAATGAAACTGAGGGAGAGTTGTCAGCGTTGGTTGCAAACATTATTGGTTGTCGTTTTGTTTTCCTTGTCAAACTTAGCAAATACAACAAGACTGCTTATAAGCAGAGTTTCACTGCCACGAGGGTGTTTCCAGAATCTTATATTGACAAATGGGATAAATCCCAGGTAAAGTACATGGAATTTTATTCATAATCCTTATCTACATCACATGAAATATAATGTTTGTTTAATTATTATATCTAATTAAGTATATGACATCACAGGAATCTGACAATGCATCCAGCAGCTGCGTAAGTGGTCCAGTAGATGACTCCCTAACTAAAAAGATACGCCGTATTTGTTGTTTCATTTATTACCAGATTCTGCAGCGTCTCCCATATTGAAAATGACTTATTCATTTGACTTTTACAGTGAGGGCTGTACTCAGCGTGAGGGGAAAGCACTGGAAGAATGAAAAGCTTAATATGCCACTGCTTCAACTGCTGGTTTTTGTTTTCATCTTTATATTACTGCAAATAAAGGAGTACTTTCTAAGAAAGAAGTGAATCTCCTACAGTATACGTTAGTGTGTTTTTTAAATTGTTGTTCTTTACATTTTCCTTAGACTACATGAGAAACTTATGTTCTCTCTTCATCATCTAATAAAAGTGAGTTTACTTTCAAGCTTTATGTCTCTGCATTTTAACATTGTTTCCAATATTCTATCCATACTTAACACTGTACTAACACTGGACACATAATCAAACAATATTCAAGGTTCCATGATCTGAAAATGTATAATATAATGAACACAGCATGAACTGTGCTTATATCTGCACAATACAGAGCACACTCAGTAAAGGCAAGCTATACATACAGTTAGTTTAAACACAGTCTGTATTTAAACCCACGTCTGAATCAGGTCATTAATTGTTAATGAAAGGGAAATGCAAACTCTACTAACACCAGTTTTATTAAAGTTATATTCTTGGCTCACAAAACATCATCTTGCAATTATGTTTAACAAATATTGAATAAACATTGAGTTCTATGCTTCAAGTGTTTAAAACAATATCACTTATGAAAAAGATCTGAGAAATGAAATAATATGGCTTAATTTCATAACAGACAACGTTATATACATCAGAACCTTTCTACATTTCTGAGTTTTGTACATTTGAATGGCGTAAGAACTTTCCTGTCATTTCCAAGTTTGAGCACAGATTGGGTAAACAAGACTCAATACCTAAGCATAAGTTTGTCCTGCACTAAGAACTTTCACTAAGACTCAATCTGTCATTTCTAAGAACTTTCCTAAATGTGTCATTACTAAGCTTGAGGACAGATTGGGTAAACAAGACTCAATCCCTAACACTTAATCTGTCCTGCCCTAAGAACTTTCCTGTCAATTGAAAAATACTTGATACACTATGTCAAGATGGAGGCCATTCAAGCCTACCTGTATATGACTTCCTGTCAACACTTGGTTCACATTGTTTTTAAGCGTCTACATACCAGTTGAGGACAAATACATGGTTTTTGACATTACTCATTAATATTTTATTCTGAATCTCTGCGGTTTGCATTTGGTCATAACTTTTTGCTTCATAAGGTGGACTGCAACTACCAGGTCTATTCTACATTTCACGTTTCAGTTACTATGTGAGTCTGCGTAACAGGTTTTAGGTATTTGTTGCTTCATGTTGGCCAATCCTAAAGAATTCAATATGTTGTTTTCATGAAGATTAGGCGTTCTTCTTCGGTAATGGGTTTAGTCACACCTTACGACAGCCGGTTTGGTTTCCTATTTACCTTGGTTTTTAATCAATTTACACATACTATGTCAATTTCATTACTACTTTTTGAATATCATCAGTATCTTTACTTTCATTTACTTTAATTCAAATCTTGGATTATGTTCACAGTGGGTTTCTTTAGGTTTAAACACGTACATTATGCTGTTCTACATCGCTTACTTTGAATAACTATGCTCAAGTGTTTCATGTCGGATAGGAGGTTCATACGATTTTGCCATACCTTTGGTTTTCCCATGGGTCAGGAGTCCTATGCTTTGGGTAATTTGGTTTCTACAAAATGTCACTGGCATAGACGAATGACATCTTTATTTACCTTGCCCCACTGATGATTAATGAAACATACTGCATTTCTGAAATCAGTCACCTGCCTATTTCGGATTTTAAAGACGTGACCAACATACATGTTTTTAAAGCAAATTTNCCCCCCCCCCCCCCCAGAACCAATGTGCTAAACTGCGGGGCAAGGTCTGAAATCCAGCTCATGATGGATCAAATTTCTCCGAAGCAGTGGTAAGTCTTTCAAATGTTTTCTCGATGTTATGTACGTATTTCTGCAATATTCAGCAACGTCTTTCAATGCGTTAACTGTAACCTTTCTGGAGAGTTGACAAACCCGTACGTTACCTATATTGTACAAATTGTCCCCTATACTAGCTGGGTTTTCATTTCCACATTGGTATTGCAGTTGTTTTCCTATATTCAAACCTATTCGTTCTACAATAACACAGTAAACAACTTTGGCAGGACTGGCATGAACGTCGCACCTGTTTACAACATATTAAAGGGAAGTACATACTCACTTCACACGATGCTGATATATATAGAATAAATTAAGCATTTCCAAGCTAAGCAAGAAAAGATGATGAGCAGGGACCTAAAAGTGATGAAAATAAAGGTTTAAGAGAATATGTGTTATTCGTGTTAGTAGAACTGCTTATCGATCATGTTTCAATGATACAGGTCTCCATCTTTGCAAACAAGTGGTTTCCTGGTGAGAGGAGTATATATAGTTAACATATGCTCTGTTAATATGTGTGTATTGAAGGACACATGTTAGAACTATTTAAGATGTAATGCCTTGCATTATTTCAATGAGTTGTTAAAAAAAAAGTTTTGGTCATCAACTTGCCATCCGCCCCCACCTCGAGTGTGCATATAATCACTTCTCAATTTTCATCTAGGGTTGACAAAGCACCAGTTCATCCACTAACCTGGAATCAAGTAATATGAAGAAACCCATCCTATTTTCTGCACAAGAAAAATATTAGCCTATTAGCACGTGCCAGTGTTATCCTTTCCCATCCTATTTCCTGTTAGCCTATTTTCAGCTGCTGGGGAGGCTATGAATTTCAGCTCATGATGGATCAAATATCTCTGAAGCAGTGGTAAGGGTTTCAAACCTTTTGTCGATCTTATGTTCGTTTTTCTTCAATTCCCAAACATCACCAAAACAGTATATATATAAAGTAGGGTTTTTTGGTTGTGGTGGTGACACGTGGACAATGACTAGGCAGCTTACACGGATAATTTTAGATGACTTGGTTCTACTTCCTGCCACGATAACAAACGAATAGCGTGTTCCTTGGATTTGTAATTTTCAATTCGACCGTCTGCCTTTCCTGAAACGTTCCGCTCATGAAGTTCTCCAAATCAATTGCTTTGAGCTGCCGGTTTTCCCAGGTGAGAGGTCGGAGGTCTGCGATTACATCATGGACCATAAACGAGGAAGATTTACAAACAGAAAGAACTCCTTTGGGAAATGCTAATGAAGAATTTCACCTAATGGAAAACAAGGTTCAATTCTCTATTTTCTCTCATAGAATTTGTTTTGGGTTGATTCATGTTATACTAGAAGTGGTGTTATACGGAGTTCAAAACTATGAGCCCCACAGAAAATCACCATGTTCCAAGAATATAGACAGGACGGATACGGGAACTTAGAGGTTGTATATTATCTTCGTGTCTTCCTCACTGTCAATCTTAATGATATGGTTATATATTCTCTTCCTCAACTTCTATTCATCCCCACCACATGTTTGTTTTTATTCCTCTTTTTAAAGTTGGAATGAGACATTTGTAGGTTTTGAATTAATTTTGAAAGTCCATTGATTAACTGATACAGAGAACTTTTTTAATTGTTTTTTTAGGCTCTATCATCCTTTGTCTCCCCTTGAAGAAAAAGAATAGACCCTAAATTGTGTTGGATAAGATGCAAGGTTGGCGATCTATTTGTCGAATAGTGGATTAAAGGTGGCCTTCAAGCTGTGTTCCAAGTTTTTTTACCTGAATTTATTTGGTGAGTCAAATAAGTTCCAACAATTAAATTTGTGCTTTCATGTATTCATGTGCTTCCATTGTAAATTTTGGTGGAGTTTTACTATGATCAGATTTGAGTGGTTCAGTCTACTCCTACATAGGTGTATCTACATGGTTTAACGAATTAGCCATTGGATATATTGCATTATATGGTTATGCTTTTTCACATGTGTTTGACATAGTCCATTTCTTATTAGCTAGAATTAAACATTCATTATTTCAAATCTTATTTAGCTTTGACCCTCATTTTAAATTTGTATTTTGAATATGTACTACTATATCTTATGTTTCAAGTTGTTAAATGAGTCCTCTCATTTTTAATGTCACTGAGCTACTCACTGCAACTTCTAGAAGGTTATCACTTTTGAGCATGATCTCTTTATGCAATATAATTTTTTGTTTGTGCTATGATAAAAATTTGTATCTAAAAATAATTCCTTTGTAGTCCATAAATAAATTATTTTAAATAACTGAAATATTGACTAACTGAAATGCTAAATTCTTTGGACATCACAAGTCATGTTGGGGTGGGCATGGTTCAGTAACCAAATACTCACCTTCTGGCTTCTGGCCACTACATACGGGCTCAACCTTGGCTCACCCTCTTCCTTAGAGAATATAATTGTGTATTTTTCTTATTTCAAATTGTAAATCTAATTATAGGACGCTACATCATATTGGAGCCAACAACCAGTGGTAACAAAAGATTAAGCAGCTCGCACTGTTATCCCTGCTTGCTGTATTGTTGTGAACTTATCATGCAAGGCGAAGGATCTTATTGAGAAACACGTGTCTGCTTTCTCTCAAACTCAGGATAATACTCTATACATGCTTCCATCAACACCCCAGGTACCTCACCTTCTATCATTGTTAATATATTTGATGAAAAAAACTTTCATTCTGTGCGTACAGGAAGTTGAGAACATTTATTCACAAACATCATCACCCTATGAATGATTAAGAAATTAGTATACAATAGAGCAATGATACTCATCTACGATATTAAGAACGAAGAAACCATAAGAATAAACGTTTCACACTTGGCCCTTGATTGGTTGGGGAATTTGGAGGGGAGGGAAGGGGATGAGTAACATCTACATTTAGATGGTATGAAAAATTATACTACGTGTAGAAATGCATGATTTATTAAAACTAAAATCAATCCTTTCCTCCTTACCTCAACAAAATCCCAACAAAAAATTCACTCTTAATATATGCAAAAAAAATCATATTTCCCCCCATTTTCATTGGTGACCAAGCACTCTTCGAGTGTTTTGGAAGCAATGGCTCTACTGACCAGAAGCTGTGGTTGCTGCTGAAAGGAATGCTGCTATTTTGACAGCCAAAGCCGGTGCAAGGGATCCATCTGCAATTCCTTCTATATGTTGCATATCTGCTGCACTTTAGTCTACTGCAGGTGAGACCTTTCCTTCTATATGTCGCATATCTGCTGCACTTTAAGGTTACTATTATTTTTTCTGAATCAGTTTTTTTGAATTATGACTTTTGTTAGCCTCCCTCAATAGTGCTTTATGCCAATTGCTTTGATATCAATAAGCTTGGAGTTGGAACTGGGACAATCCATTGTCTTCACCCTCAACGAGATGTTCTGGAAGCTGACGACAGCCATGACGAAGGAAAGAGAATTTCTTCAGCAACAATAAAACCAGAGTGTCCAGACCTAGCGGGATGGATGGAGTATATATATAAAAGGAATTAAAATACACTACAACTACTTATGAATTGTATTTTCACCTTTTAGCAAACACTTTTAGGCTTATAAATATAAGAATCCATAACCAATATGCATTTTTATTTTGATAGTTTTTTCAAGAGTATGTTAGGCCATTTTCAAGAGCTCAACTAAAGGGATAAATCCCCCTTCTAAGCACATATCTACTTTGGTATGCTAAATCACGTAATACCTTAGGTCCGTTTTAGTTATTCCTTTCTTTTGATCTTTAACCGTAATGCCTTGGTTTTCAAAGACAGGTAACATACTGCTGCAATACATGATGAAGGGCTCAATCGGGGGACAAGTTGTTGCGAATTGATGGGTGCTACTACAAAAAGAAAAGAAAAAAATTGCAGGTAATTTTCATGGATCCTTTTCTTTCTTTCTTTTTGCATTTTTTCCATTTCAATTTCATAATGATACCCTAAGATTACGAGAATCTATTTTCACATCTGAAAGGTGTTTGACACGATAAAAGGAAGAGGTGCGTTGATTTATTTTCATCCATTTAATACACAACTTATTACCTAGATATTAAACTTTCATGGAAAAAATTGGAGGTATTTTTCATGGATCCTTTTCTTTCTTTCTTTTGTCAAATTATTTTTTGCAATGTTAAACTTAAATGTTCTATTGAAAAATAATGCATATGCCTTCAACAACATACTCATTATTTTCACTCCCATTTTTTTACACAACTAGGTTGTTTCATTGAGGGGCTGGGAGCATATTTTCTATACAAAGAATTAATGTTGGTGAATTTAATTCACTTATTGATTGAATAATGAATTTGGTAGAAGCATCTATGCTATATCGACTAAATGATGAAACACCTTCCCAACTGTAAATTTATTAACCTATATTTGATATTCCAAGAAAATCCTCCATAACTCTAAAGCCTTATGTTCATAATAGACGAATTATAATTCAAAATCAGTTGTCTTAAGAAAATTTGGTCTAAATTCTTTGTTAATTACATTTAACAAAGTGTTAATCAAAGAAAAAGAAGAAGATACCCTTGATCAGTGGTAATTACATGTTTTTTTTTAATTTCAAAAGTGAATTCTAGCTTTTAAATGAATTTACTCTCATATATTACATGTATTTATGAATAAATTGAAGTTAGTTTTGTTGAAAAACATTATTACTTTAAACACAACTCAATAATGTCTCTTGGCAGTTCAATAACGATGACATTTGGCAGGAAAAGTACTCATTTTCTCATTTACTCTTTTTCAAACCCAATCATATGGTTTTACAATCTATGAATACATATCTTTATTAGTAATTGGGTTTAGCGGTCAAATATCATTTGCAAGTCTTCATGGAGTCAACATTTTTAGTTTACTATATATAATTACATATTGAACATGTGAAAAAAGAAAGCTTGGTATTAGTTCTGTAAAAGTTTAGTTCTGTTTGGCTGTGCAACTTCTATTTGTAGTTTGATTCCGTTTCTGCTTGCTTTGAAGAGTCTCAGGTTTGGCTAAATTATTGGTGATGAAGTTGGAGGATGTATATACAACTGTTGTTTGCTACACCTTAGTACCAAAATTTATACTCAAATTTTGACCAAGTTGTCTTTTGTTGGAACTACACTTGAGTTTAAAAAGTTTGAATATTGGTAAGGATGTTTTTTAGTTAGTTTGGCTATTAGATGGCAGTTTTTGTTTTTTTCATTATTTTGGATTGAGATAATTGGTGCTGTCGTGTTATAGTTGTTGGAACATGAGAGTTAGAGTTTGGTTATAATGCAGAATTTTTTTTCTTTTCCTTTTTTTCGCTTTTAGTTTAAAGGGGCTTCAGTTCTATCTATCTTGCTATTTCTTTTCCCTTCTTATGGGCTTCTACTTGGTTTCTACACTCTTCAACATCTTTTTAATAAAATTGTTTTTAAAAAATTCAAATTATAACACTACTAAATATCTTAAATTTGGAGTTCTTTAAAAAATGAGAACTATCATACTTATAAAATGAGTATTTCTACTCAAACAACTACTCAAACAACACATTACGCTTTTGAGTATTCATCTATTTTTTCCATCAAATATACATTTAAAAAAATGCAAACAACACTTAGCATAAATCACGAGCCCGTGCGAAGCACGGGGTAGAAAACTAGTGTATTTTAAAAAGACACCAAGATTTAAAAAGGAAAAATTGGTTGAGAATCCATCAAATATGAACGCAAATAATAACACTTTTAAAATATGAAAACTAGACGTTATCAATTGTAAGATGTATTTCACATTTGCAATGTAGAACTATTTTTAATTAGTATTTTCAATAATATATTTAAACTCTAAAGTTATGTATTGTAGAATACTGTATATTTACTGTTAAAAGGGTGTTGGTTGGATATAAATTTTCTAAATTGCGACCTCATGGTTCAAATGTTCTGGGTTCGCTCCTGCCTCCACCTCATTATTTAGTGCACATGTGGCATGCCACATTGTTAGAATAAAGGCCCAACGCTAGAGGGGGGGTGAATAGCGTTTAAAACAAAATCGCAGGAAATTAAAAACGAGAGCGATAAAGTAAATAAAGAGTGTAAGGAAGGAGCACACCGAATTTTATCCTAGTTCACCACAACGTGTGGCTAATCCAGCCTCTCGAGAGACTCTATCGAGCTACACTAACTCTGTTAAGCTTAAGGGTGCTCAACAAACTGATACAACTTGAGAACCTGAGTCACACGAGCCTCAACACCTTTGCTCGGAGATATCACACTCCAAGACTTCTCACGAAGGAACAAAGAATTTTCCTTCGAGTATTAAAAACCACTGAGTTGGTTCGGGCGTCAACAACCGAACGCCGAACCCCGAATGTCGTATGCCGATGCCGAACGCCGACCTAGGTGGTTTTTGGTCTGGGCAAGGACCAGGGATTTAAATACAATAAAACCTTTAAAAAACGTTTATTTTGATGCACAAAAACATTTTATGATTTTGTAAATAATTTTGACTCTTTGAGAATCGAGACTTGAATTGATTGTCGGTTTTGATCACAATAAGACCGACTTGACTATGTCTTCAATTCTTGATTTTGTCCTTGAGTCTTTTGGTCTTGTTCCATGCCATTCTTCACGCCTTGAGTTATTCAATGAAACTCTTCATATCCACGGCGGTTTGGCAATTATCAAAACCTGCCAGAGATGAACACGATTTTAGTTTAAGTTCACAAAAAGTATGTTTCAACACACATGTCAATACCACAACCAACACACTTAACTTTACATATATACTAGTATTCCTACCCGTGCAATGCACGGGTTCGGACGAATATCTTGTCAATTCTGAATTTATTCAATGCAATATTTTTTTCCGGAATAAAGAAAATATAACTCATGCATGATTTATAATAACACAGAAAAGAAAGGCAAAGTAAAAAGAATAATATTTGAGGAATTGAATCTACACACAATAAAGTTTGCTTTAATACCAAATTTTTTGAAAGATTTCAGGGTATAAAACATTTTTTGTATGGTTGCAAGGATTTCTATTGTCATCTAAGGCTAATATTTTTAATCCTCTCTTTGTCTTCACTTGCGAAACAGCAGTAACATAAAGCTGATCATGAATGAACACTGACTTGGTTAAAAATAAGCCAACAAATGACAATGTTTGACCTTAATTTTTGTTAATAGTCATAGCAAAATATAAGACTATTGGAAATTATCTTCTCTGGAACTTTAGAGGTAGTCCTGGATCAGACGGTACCAAATTCATCCGGGGTATGTAAACTTTTTTGCCCACTCGATTTCTCGAAACCACAATAGCACCAATAACATTCTTTCGCATCTCGTCAACAATTAATCTTGTACCATTACACAATCCATAGGAGATTTATTGGCCTTAAAATCACAGAGACCGTCAATCTACACATCAATGACTCTTGAATTCTTATTCTGTGTGTTGATATTGATTTGGGTGATTATTTGTATTTATATTTCTTAGCATTTCAGGTAGAAAAATGTTTGGTTCACAAACACAATCATCACAAAAATCACAAATTTACTATTTGTGAACTTTGATAAAAAAATTTAAATGGTTTAAAATAATTTTAAATTGAGAATTTAAATCATAAATAGTAAGTTTGTGGAGTTTGTGATCATTCTGTTTGTGAATGTAGCATTGCTCTTTCAGGTATTAGTTATAAAAAGTAAACAGACTATGGTGTGATTTATTTTTTCAATACTTAAGGACTGGAGAAACTTCAAGAGACTATAAAAATTAAACTCCACACCATAAAATATGTTAAAAAAACAGGAGGCTATAAATCTGAAATTAAGGTCTGAAAAATAAGGACAGACTCAAGTCGTCAATACTTTAATAAAAAATATGTTTTTATGGTGCTGAAAATAGAAGATTCAAGGACAGCAGACTTATTACACTTTAAGAACGGTAGAGTTATTATTACATAGATTATAAGAATTTTTTGTTAGGCAGTATTAAAAAAAATTTAGTCTCATGGTTTAAGGCACTGGAGAAACTTCAACATGAATAGGCACTAAAAGAACTAAACAGACTATAGTGTGTTTTGTTTTTTAATAGTTAGAATCAGAACAGACTATAGTGTGTTTTGTTTTTTAATACTTAGAATCAGAACAGACTATAGTGTGTTTTGTTTTTTCAATACTTTGAATCTAGAGAAACTTCAAGAGATTAAAAACTAAACTCCACACCATAAAATATGTTCAAAAACAGCAGACTATAAATTTGAAAATAAGGACATGCTCAACTCTTCAGTACTTTAATAAAAAAAATTATTTTTTATGGTGCTGAAAATAGAAGCTTCAAAGAAAGCAGACTCATTATACTTTAAGAACAACAGATTT